TTAAATACGGACAGTCCCCTAAGTTCTGTCCTAGTCCCCTTCCTTCTATACGTACTGTCACTTGATGACCTCCTTAGCTTCTGTAGATTCAATGATCCTCTCTATACAAATGATTCTCAAATCTATTTTCCACCCTGAATTCATATTTCTAACTGTCTACTGTATTTCTCTATCTGGATATCCTTTTAGGAAACTCAAACTCAACATAGCCAAAACAAGAATTGTTCTATGTTTTGCCAAAACCTTCCCTCCTTGAAACTTCCCCATTCCTGTCAAGGACGTCACCATCTTTTCTTGGAGTTATGTTTGGTTCTTCTTTCTCTTCCCCTGCATCTGTTCAGTTGCAAAGCCTTGTTGATGCTACCTCCACAACACCTCATCTCCATTCACATAGTTTCCATACTAGTTCAGACCTTCGAAAACCAACTGGGTTCCCTGCTTCAGGTCTCTCCCATGCCTCAGTCTATCCACCACACAGCTGCCAAGTTGATATTCCTAAAACACAGATCTGGCATGACAGCCCTCTACTCAAAAATCTTCAGTGGCTCCGTATTGCCTTTCAGACAAAATATAACTACTCATCTTAGTACCTAAAAGCTATCACAATCCAATGTCAAGCATTTTCAGCTCTAGTCAAACTATCCTATTAACTCTTCACTCTACATAACATCTCACCTCCCACCTCCTTGACTTTTTATTCTATGTGTATAATGCTCTCCTGCCTCAGCTCTACCTCTGTATTCTCTGATTTCCTTCAAAGAACAGCTCAGGTGTAACCCCTTATGTGAGATTTTTCCCCTGTTATTAGCATTCTCTCCCTCATGACGTGATTTTCTATATATGTTTTATTTATATCATTATACGTGCTATATATCATTGCCATCACCATCATCACTCCCCAAACAAATGATTTTTGCCTTTGTATCTCTAACACCTGACATGGTATCTTACATACAGTAGGTGTTTAATACAGGCTTGCTGAAATAAATTACATGTAAAAATAACAACATCTGAGTGGACTCTGGAAGCAAATATAAATGCCTGGCTTAAACTAGGTAGAGATAGAGGTAGGGAACAAAGAATGTAGCTTAAGGACACCATAATGTAGAATCTCTTCTACAAATGGTGCTATTTTTTAGGTTATATTCCTTTTGTAAAAATGTCATGAAACAAAAAAAAAAGAGAAAAAAAACCCCAATTTATATTAGAAATGCAGCATTATTATTGACAATATTAACTTACCTTGCTTTCTTAATATTGTTATCTGTCAGGACAAAAATCAAACAAAAATTGTTAATACTTGGTGGTAAATTACATGCAAAATCACCAACAGTTTTATTTCCCAATGCCATAAAATAATGTTTTAAGGGGTATGGTCATACTGAGTAGGGTTCTGTGTCTGGTGTGTGTATGTATGTGTGTGTGTTGTGTGTGTTGTATAAATGTTGTGTGCATGTTGTTGTTTAGCTTATCCTCAGAAGAAATCCTTCTGAAAGATTTGACTTTTAAATAAAAACAAGCTAATTTCTATAAAAGAATGAAACTGTCATCCTGTCACAAAGACCCTGGTAGGTTTGGCAGTTAACCAGTAAGAAAGAAGGGTGTTATTGAGATGGATGCTACTAAAAACACAGTATGCAAGCTTGGTTATGCCTGAAAAAAAAAAAGTTTAGTTAATTAAAATTAGTATTTGTTAATTATATATATTCTTGCTTGTAGTTTTCCTTCAGAAATGTTTGTGTATACGTTTGAGGGTCTAGTCATTATTTGAACTTACATCCATATTTGCCACTGAATGAGAATAGAAGTCTAGAACTGCCTTATACTCAAAGGAAAAGAGATGGGGATGGGGTGGTCTTCCAGGTTGTCTGCTAGATTATGGTGCAGGGTAAGTAGGTAGCGAAATACCCAAGATTAATGGTTTCATGTTACCTTCCTCTTCTGGCCCAAGCTTTAACATAGTTATAGTCAAAAAACATTTATTAAGTCCTTATATGGGCCAGGCACTGTGCTAAGTTCTGGGGATACAAATATAAAAAAAGACAACTCCTGCCTTCATGGAACTTAGAGTCTAATGGGGGAAGACAAAACAGAAAAGGAAGCTGGAAATGGTGAGTGGGATTGGGGTGAGGAGTGGTGGTGGAAGAAAGCTGGGGAAGGTATCCAGCTCAGGGGCATAATGGAGAGGTCAGTCAGAGGAGTCTCAAGATAGTGCAGCCAGGTGGGAGATGAGAAGGTAACAAAGTTGGGCTCTCTCCTTAAATGAAAGTTTGGAATCCATGGTCCCACTCTCAGTCATTCCAGCACCAACTTCCACTGATGTTTCTCTCCAATCTGTTCTTATATGATTCTGAGCTCCTGCCCTCTGAATCAACCTCAACACTTCGTTTCCCAATCCCTGGAACTTATTTTCCTCGGTATTGCCTTTTTGTTATAGGGTTTAAAGTTTCAGCTTTTTTTTTTCTCTTTCATTCTTCACAAGTGGTCAGTTCAGAGTTACTAGGTGATACATCTTAATTTATTTCAAGCCCCATCCATTTATTCAACTCTTAGGAATACGATTAAAAAATTGTTTCAGATCACATAGAGGGCCAGCCTTGGAGTCAGCAAAACCTAGATTCAAGCCCTGTCTCTGACTTAATACTGTCTAATCACGGACAAACCATTCAACATTTCAGTATTTCAGGCTGCTCTCTCGGGCTCAACCCTAGACAAGTTCCTGACATTCATTAGCTGGAGGAGTTTCCACAGCGAGAATTACCTGCCTTGATAAAATCACTGGTCTGGGACCTCAAACCTGCCCCATCCACCCCCTCCATCCCCCCCAACCCCCACATTAAATCATCACATTTAGATTTTTTTATAAAAGTTCATTTTTTTAACAATTGCAGACATTTATAAAAGGTTTTTAGGTTTGCAAAATATGTTAACATGCATTATATCATTTGATCTTTATTATAAGCTTTGTAAACTAGGCTATACAAGTATGATTATCCCAGTTTTACAAATAAGGAAACCAAGTTTTGGAGAGGTTAAATGACATGACCTTGGTCACACAGCTAATCTGTGTGAGAGGCAGCAGTTGGGCTTTCTGACAAGTTCCAGTGTTCTTTCAACTACACCGTGCTGCCTACAGATATTAACAGAACAGTGATTAACTGAAATCTTCCTGCATAGTTATGATGATTTAAAAGGAGTCCTCTGCCTTCATCACCATCTAATTCTTGGACTTTTATATGTCATTGCTCAGTCGTTTCAGTAGTTTTTGACTCTTTGTGACTCCATTTGGGGTTTTCTTGACAAAGATACTGGAGTAGCTTGCCATTTCCTTCTCCAGCTCATTTTTCTGATGAAAAAACTGAGGCAAACAGGGTTAAGTGACTTGTCCAGGGTCACACAACTCATGTGCATCTGAGGCTGGATTTGAATTCAGGTCTTCTTGACTCCAGGCCAGGAGTCTATCTACTGTGCCACCTAGCTGCCTTACTTTTACATGTATAGTATACTATTTAAATATATAAAGACACAATGCCAGACATGGTAACTAACATTGTATAGGGTACCCCAAATGCAGTCCTTCACAAGTTGTATTTTTTTCCTGAATTCATTATTAAAAGAACTTACAAATTACATCAGTGTTACATGCTATTCAAGCATTTCTTATAATTAATTTGTACTATTACTTCCATCAAGCTCCATAGAACTAATCTATAGCTAGAAAGTACTTCAACCTTTCCTTCAAGAGAAGGAAAACTCAGGCCCAGAAAGATTCAGTAAATTTTCTAAGATCACACAGGTAATAAGTGGCAAAGTTGGGATTTTTGAACCCAGACCCCCCGACTCCAAATGTAGCTCCTTTTCTACTTCATCACAATACCAGATTAATCTCTAAACATCATGGCATTTTAATGGTAGGTACTAGCTTGTGTTCGGTGAGTCTGGTGGGGTCATTGAATATATTGTTGCTCTTGTTTTCATAGACTAGGTCTGGTTTCTGCAGGGCCTATGTTTCTTCTGATTAAATTCTTCCAAGCATCTCCCCATTTAGCTAGCTCCATTCTCATCCTAGCCCGTTCCTATTTCAACTGCAAATTCAACATGGCAGAAGGAGAAACAAGAAAAGGAAGCTCTACCTCTCTGTTAATGTCCCAAACACCTCTAGAGGTGCTGATATCACCCCATCACCATGTGATGCTTGGATCAAGGACTGATTCCAAGCAGGTCACTTCCTTGACAGCTAGGTAACATAAGAGAGAGGATGCTGGAGTTGTAGTTAGGAAAACCTGAATTCAGGTCCTACCTCATAAGCCTATTAGCTCTATAACTATGGGTAAGTCATTTGCCCTCTCTCAGACTCAGTATTCTCCTCTGGAAAATGGAGATAATAATAATAGCACCTACCTCACAGGGATGTTGAAAGGACTAGTGAAATAATAATAATGACAATGTTACTATTTATACAGCACTTTGAGGTTGGCAAAACACTTTACAAATACAATCTCATTTTATCCTTCCAATAGCTCTGTGAGGTAGGTGCTACTCTTATCCTCATTTTATATATGAGGAAACTGAGACTGAAGGAGATTAAGCGACTTGCTCAGGGTCATACAACTAGAAAGTGTCTGAAGCTGGATTTGAATTCAAATCTTTCTAATGCTTTACACATGTAAACTGCTTTGTAAAGCTTAAAGTGTTATATAAACTCCAATTATTATTATTATTTATCACAAGGAAAACTGTGTCAAATAACCCTATTCTAGATAGAAAAGGATTCCTTACATATAAACTGATGGAAGATTAAGATTCAGTTACTTAATCAGATTTATTGAGCATTTGCTATATCCAATGCATCATACTTTATGAAAAGGAAATTAGATTCTTAATGGCAATCACTCTGTAAAGATGTGGTTCTTTAAAACTTAGTAACTTATTACCCATTTGTGTTTTGGCCTCCTTTTATACAACAGAGTGAGGACAAAGTTCTTGCTTCCTTCAACTGTTGGAAAAGCATGCCTCCCTCCCTTTGGCCAAAAAAACGTGGAGTATAGGTACAAAATTGATCATATGTTTTCAGACATGGCCACAGTGTTGATTTATTTTTTAGTTGTATTCCTTTGTTTTGCTTGTTTTCTATTGGTGGTAAGGGAAAGTCATGAGAAAATAACAGCATTGTTAATCTTAATGTTAAATCATCAAAAAAAACATTGATTTAGCAGGGTTGGGGGGGGGTTTCTTTGTTTTTCTTTTAGGAAAAGAGTTCGTACCTGATTCATTTGATTCAAAGGCATGATTCTCCTCTCCAAATTTTCTAACACGACGTAGAATGACTGGATCAGACATGATAATTTCTACTTTCAGTCAATGACCCTGTAAAATAGAAAAGAATCACTGCAACTCTTACTTCTTCTAGAAAAAAAAACAAATCAGATTAGCTGAAGTGAAAGAAAAATTCACCCCCACAATCAACCTTTAATAATCAATCACTCTGAGTCGAAACGGGGTCACTGACCTTGGAGGGCTCTTCCAACTATAAATTTTTATGATTAACTATTTATGAAGTTATGTAAAGGAATCTTGAAATCATTTAAAAATATTTTCTACTTTATTTTAAAGGGGTGCTGGTGAGTATCAAAATGTTGTAAGAAGAAATAATTTACTAGTTTTTTAAGTCAATTTAATTTTTCAAATTTTTTTTAATTTAAAGAAGCTAGATTAGCAATTTCAGATAATTAATTTAAATAATAAATAAATTTATTTAATTAATTAAATAATAATTAATTTTAGGAAAAACAGAAACAATCCCATATGAACATACCGAGATCCCCAAGATTCTAAATTCTGAAAAGAAGGAGTCAGAGGGCATTTTCATATTCTGGAGGCTTCTTAACAAAGTATGGTAGTAAAGATTCAACTTTAACGTAAGGGGATATGAAATATTAACTTAGGAAAACACAAGTCAACATTTTCTAGATCATGTTGAATTTTCATTTATTATGTTAAACATTTGCCAATTACATTTTAATCTAGTTCAGGCCTCACTCTCAACCCTCTATTTTGTAGACGAGGAAAGTAAGGCTCAGACAGTTGAGTAGTTCACCACAAGTTGTGGCATGTTGTATAGAAAAATTAAATTATGATTGTGAGACAGCGTGCCCCCTTTCCTACTTAGTGAATTGAAAGGTCTTAGGGGGAAAAAAGAGAGTCCAAGAAATGTAAGGGTGAGGCTCTTTCAGGTAAAATGAAGCACTTGCCCCTCTTTGGAAACTGAGCCTTTGAACAGATAAATTGCATATGAAAAGAGAGACAGTGAACTTGCCCTCAAAGCATAGAAAGCCCTAGTACCTTTTGCTCCATCTACTCACTTAAAAGACTCACAGGATCTGGGGAAATTTGTGAGGTGGTCACCATAGGCTTGGGAGAGGTCCTTCACCAGTGGACTCTGAACTAAAAAAGAATTGCCTGAGAGGTGAAACTACACCTCTGCTATATCCAGCCAATGAGATGACAGACTGATCGTGTGGCACAGTTCCTGAGAGTACCCTTTAATAAACTTCTTCTTCCTAATTCCTTGTTTATAATGCTCACTACCATAATGAGCTGCTCCAATGCCCTTTGCTTGTTCGTTTGCTGTGGTTATCCTCGTTTGTTTGTTTTGCTAGGCAATGGGGTTAAGTGACTTGCCCAGGGTCACACAGCTAGTAAGTGTTATGTGTCTGAGGCTGGATTTGAACTCAGGTCCTCCTGACTCCAGGGCCAGTGCTCTATCCACTAAGCTACCTAGCTGCCCCCTCTTTGGATGATACTCAACCTCAACTTTTCAGAGATTTGCAGCCCCACAGTATTATTTTTTATTAAATTAAATCATTAAATGTTAAATATTTTATTGTTGGATTAAATTACTTAATTATTGATTAAACTATTTTATTTGAATAATTAAAATTATGCTATTAAAAATAGCATAAGCATAATAGCATAAATACGAGGTCATTAAAAGAAATGCACATTCCCCAAAGGCAATCCAGCACTCTTGCTTGCCTTCTGTTCAGTTCTGGGTCTAACTCATTGTCTGTTGGCAGAATATGTAACCGTTCTACAGGATGTCCATCCAACTGTATATGAACCAACATGACAATAACAGTATTTTAAGCATCCATAGCACTTTGTATCATAAGTTTACATTTTATGTAAATTTTATTCCTTGCAACATTGTATCTAGGTAAGATGAATAATTTGCAAAGTAATTTGTACTGAAGGGCTGAGGAGATGAGGAAACTTTTTTAAGAAGTCAGAAATTGCTCCAAGAAGTCTCTCCCTTTCCAGGGGTGGTGAACTTGTGGCTTCAAGGTCACCTGTGGCCTTCAGGTCTTTGGGTGCAGCCTTTTGACCGAGTTCAAGTTTTGAAATCCTTTTATTAGAGGGATTTGTTCTGTGAAGTTTGGATTCAGTCAAAGGAGCCCACTTGAGGCCTAAAGGGCCACGTGCAGATTCCCCAATCCTGCTTTAGGCTATACAACTGCTTCTAAAATCTTATCCAGAGTGAATGTGGGAGATTCTGGGAAATTGGTGGAGTAGGGCAGAAGACTTCCAGCTGTCTGAGGAGGGAGCCTTGCCTCAAAGTGATTGTAGAGCATCAGAAATAAACAAAAAGGGGTAAAGCAGTTGCCTTCCCAAGATGTCCTGAGAGGACCGCAGTAAAGACTCAACCTCCCAAGGTGGAGGTTTAGCCTGAGTGAAGGGCAAACACCTCCAGGCATACTCTGCAGAATCAATAAACAACAAGCCCTGGGGTCAGCTGGGTTTAAAGGCAACTTTAGCTTCAAGAACTTTCACCTCATAGACCGTGTAGGGGTTGGAAGGCTGAGTAGAAGTTTAAAGAACCTTCCACAGCTGATTCTGCCGAACTGACCGGGTCCTAGCCTATGGCTTAGTACATGCTTGGTGAATGTGATAGCAGAGGAGTAGGGACCTTGCTGCCTGTGGGCACTTGCAGGAGAGCAGAGTTCCCCATTTTGGTTCCAGGTAGGAAAGGACAGTTGAAGTTTGCAGCCACTGGAGGGAGTGCGGGGAGCAAGAACCTTTGTGTGACAGCATGGCGAGGCGGCCTGACCTTGGCTTAGGAGGAGAAAGGAGTGCCCAAAGTTGGGCCCAGGACAGAGCTTAGAAAATAACAGTGAGAAGAACCTGAGAGGCCTGGGGCATCATTGCCGACATCTGAGGACTAGAATTTGATTGTCTAAAACAAAAAAAAAAACTGTTAAAAATAAAAGAAAACAAAATAAAAATAAAAATGAGTAAGCAAAGGAGAAAGAACCCAACCATAGACACCTACTATGGGAACAGAGGAGATCTAGATTCATATTCAGAGGAAGGTAGTGGAGCTTAAAAAGCCGCTCTTTTTTCAATGAGAAATGTCAAATGGTCACAAGCCCAAAAAGAGTTCTTGGAACTTAAAAAGGACTTAAAAATCAATTACCGAGAGATCAAGGAAAAATTAAGGGGAAAAAAAATAAGAACAATCCAAGAAAAAATCAAGAGAAATATGAAAAGAAAGTCAAACATCTAGAAAAAGAGAATTAAAAAGTCAAGGAAGAAAATAATTCCTTGAAAACTAGAATTGGGAAAGGGGAAACTAATGATGTTATAAGACATCAAGAAATAATAAAACAAAAGCAATAGAATGAAAAAATGGAAGAGAATGTGAAATACCTCATCAGAAAAACAACTGATATGGAGAACAGATTGAGGAGAGACAACTTAAGAATAGTTGGACTACTTGAAAGTCACAATCAAAAAAGGAATCTTGATATAATATCACAAGAAATTATTAAGGAAAATTACTCTGAGATTCCAGAACAAGAAGGGAAAGCAGAAATAGAAAAAATCCACCAACCACTACCTGAAAGAGATCCCAGGAAGAAAACTTACAGGATTATCATAACCAAGCTCCGAAGCTCCCAGGTTAAGGAGAAAATGTTGTAAGCAACAAGGAAAAAATGCAATTTAAATATCACAGAGCTAATTTTAAAGAGTGAATCTGTGTTTCTCTGGAGAAGTCTTCAGTAAGTCCCTGAAGGTCACTAAAGGCCAGAGATCATATACAAGGGTCTATAAGATTCCTATCCATTCCAACTGAGATTACTTTATATTTCTTTTGTATATGATATATATAAATATATACAGATAAAGATAGACATAGATATATTTATACACAGGTTATATAGTTATAAATACGTCTATGCAGATTTACAAGTTATATCTACATAGATATATTTATATCTATATATAGGTTATATAGTTATAAATATATCTATATAGATATAAATATATCTGTATCTATAGCATACATAGATACATGTGAACATCTACCTATATAAATCTGTTATTTTCATGTTGTCTCATCCATCTATTAGAAAGTGAGTTCCTTAAGGGAAAGGACTGTTTTTGCCTTTCCATGTAATCTTAGAGCCTAGCACAATGCCTGGCAATTGAGTAAGCACTTATTAAATACTCACTAATTAACATAGCTCAGAGTTTCTAACTGGTTTTATAGGGAGCTTCCTTTGTCCCAGTGTTTTGTTTCATTGTGTTTTTTATTTGGTGCTATTTTAGGTTTCCAAGAAACTCTGTGGGAACAGAGCAGTATTATCAAGGTCCCTGTGGAAGAACAAGATTCAGATTGAATCAAACTAAAAACGTCATGGGAAAGAATGGTGATGAAAGAAATAAACACTTTTAAGTTCTGCTGTCTGGACCTCAGGCACCCCAGATAAAATTCCTAAGTTTTGTTATGGATAACATCATCCCATGCTGACCAAAAAATCATTATAGTAAAAATAAAATAAAAATAATTTTAAAAAATAATTAACACGATCTTACGTTTATGTGTCACTCTAGAGTTTATAAAGCACTTTCTTTACAATAATCCTACCTGGTTCAAGTTTTATCCTCCCCATTTCACAGATGACAAAACTGAATCAGAGAAGCAGACCAAAATCACACAATTAGAAAGCAGGTGATACGAGAATGAGGCACATGTCAATCTTCTGCCTCTGAGTCTCATGTTCTCTCCACTGCAACCTCTCATCTTAGAACAGGAGAGAGCTATAGTATGTAGTGATATTTCCCCCACCAGCACAGGTATTGCAAGAATGAATATATTAAGTGCATACCTCTCCATGTCTGTCTCTCTAAAGCATCTTTTTTCAAGAGAATGCAATTCAGCTTCCTAGCCCCATGAAGTGCTCAGAAAGAAGGAAAAGGAGCATTAATCCTGTCTCACTTGTGACCCTTCTCTAAATGGCAAATCTGAAGAATGAGTTCTGGTCACATTCCCAGCCCCTTCCAGTTTACTTCTGATTTAAGATACTATTGTTCATGTCAAACTTTGGAATGGTTTCTTTCTCCCAGGACCCACCACTGTCATAAGAATCAACGTGAGTAGTAGGAACATATAGGTTTAGAGCTGAAAGACCAAATGGTACATCCTCTACATTTTACAGATGAGGAAACTGAGGCCCAAAAATTTGCCCAAGGTCACAAAGGTAGTGACAGAGCCAGTGTTTGAAGCCAAGTTCACTGACTCCTTATCCAGAGGTTTTTTTTCCCTACTCTATAGTGAAAAGAAGTATTATCCTGTGTTAAAAAGCTCAAACTTTCCCTTAGAAAATATTAACCTGAGGCAGCTAGGTGGCATTTGGATAGAGAGTGGAGTCTGCAGTCTGGAAGATCTGAATTCAAGTCCAGTCTCAGTTGATAGCTGTGTGACCCTGGGCAAGTCACTTAACCTCTGTCTGTCTCAGTTTCCTCAACTATAAAATGGGGATAATAGCACCCATGTTACAGGGTTGCTGAGAATCAAATGAGAAAATATTAACCTGTACTGATACGAGTTTTAAACATTTTAAGTAGAAAAGAACAAAATTATAAGTTAGTATTGAGGGCCACTAATGTGATAAGCACCACATAGATGATAGAATTAGATGAAGTCCTGATGTTTATGACTGTAGCCACTAAGGTGGTGTTCCCGGCTGGGGGTGGGGGAGGCAGGAAAGAAAATTTTTCATCCTTGATTTAAAACACAATTACTGTCTATGGCTCAAATCACATCTTTAAATCATAGAAAGTGCCAATTAAGGTAGATAATTCAAAATTTGGACCCCAGGGAAAATACAAACACAATTCTTTGCTCTCCAAGGACACAGCTTTCCTTACAGTTTACACAGAACAAATCCTAACTCCAATAATCTGCTTCTTCTTTGGGCCCGTGGTATTTTCCAGAGATAGAGGCCTCCCCTGAGCAGCAAAGTAGGTGATAATTCTTCTTGTGTTCCCTGTCAGGATGTCTTTTACACAGTCCCTAAAACAGAACTTCTCATTTTCTCCCGAAAATCTTACACATCGTCCAACTAACTCACCTGTTCCCACTTGCCTCAATTTGGAAAAAAAAATTACCAGAATTCATCCGGTGGTATTGACATGACTTTAATTACACTCACCAGATTTGTTATATTTCCACAAATGTTTACAACATTATAATACTACCCCACTCTCAGAAGCAGAGACAAGATGAGTCTCACCTTCAAGACCCTTGAAAACTATAAGTGGTCCTTAGATTATTCGTTAAAAATTACTAGACCAGGGAGGAAAATTTAAAAAACGAAAACCTTACCAACCCACAAGTGCAAATACAACTTTAAAGGGAGAAGATTTGAATAGAGAGGTATCCAGACCTACAGAGAGGCACCACTTACCTGTGGGCATAGACCTGGATGAGCTGAAAGAAACTACTTCAGTGCAGGCAGTCAAGAGATACTACATCCTTTCCCAACCCTGGTTTTCATCACTTTAAAGGCCTGATCAGAATTCAGGTGTTTTAGTTAACATTATCTATTCGTTTGTGGGTCAATGGCCAGGAGGCTGTCCTAAAGCTCAGGTCGGTGACATAAGAGGTTGAACTTACTCAAAGCAATAACACCACATACACCACAGGGAAGCTCTTTAAAAGCTATCAGTACAGGCTTTTGAGATAGTTGAGATAGTTGATCTCTCTTCTAAAATCACAATCACATTCTAGCAGACAGATGCAGGAGCTATGCATGATGCCTTTCACCAGGAAAGGGTCTCTGTGCCCATGGTACAGGCTCTCATTTTAAAACTTGACTTGCTCCCCACAATGCTTTGAAAAAGTAAAAGATACATCCAGGAAAATATTGATTTGTAGGCCCGCCCCTGCATTCCTGACTCAGCTCAATTATTAATAATTGGTCAGATAACTTTAAGAACTCTTGGACCAGCCCTTAACTTAGATACCCCAAGTAACCTTTGCACCTGGGTCTAAGAGGTCAATCAACTCAGGCTCACCTATCCTGCAGTGCCTGTACTGTGTAAATTGGCATTAGTGATCTTTTTTTAAGTTTAAGCATTAAGAAATTCAAGCCAACTAAATGCCTCATTAATATATACAATTTTTTAATGGAAAAAGTTTATTCGTCTCACAAGTGTCACAAAATTCACTTATAAAGAGGCACCGGACAAAATCTTCAACTTGGGTAAGATGTTCCTCAATTGCACATTTTGTAACTTTTCCAGGCATCTCATTTTCCACCTTTATTGTCTTCCTCTCTGTTCCTTCTCAGGCCCGTAGACTGACGTTGGAAGGGATCAATTTTCCAGCTCATTGAGTCTAGCCTCTCACTTTATAGGTAAAGAAACTGAGGCCTCGAGAGGTTAAATGACTTGCTCAGGATCATCCAACTAAATAGATACCTTGGGCTGGATTTGAACTCAGGTCTTTCTGATTCCCATCCCTGATGCTCTTCCTCCTTCTGGCTCCAAAGCCATTAGCCTTCTCTCCTGTCCTCAGGCTTCTCCTTCAGGACAATGCTTAATTAGAGGTCCCTCATTAGGATGTTAATGACAAATCAAGTTCCCTGGCACAATTCCTTGTATCAACTGAGGATGCCCCTGCAGAGCTGCCACTGGGCACACAAGTGGCTCTGTTGCCTCTGGTTGCCAGCTGCCAGTTGTGACATGTAGAGAATGCAACTTCTTTAGTTCAGCCCAGAACTTAGAAACCAACCCAAAACGATGTAAGAGATGAAAGAAATGTTGTGATGGACTGACTGGAAGACCTATTTAATGAGTCATCATGGTGATAGAGCCCATCGTTCATCAGAAGGTTTCATTGGACAGTTGAGGTAGGGCTACATGGCTGACTTGGTTGACTCCCTATATATCCTTGTATTGCTACTTAAGGGTTATCCTTTCGTAACCAGGTTCCCAAAGAAGTGGGGCAAGAAGGAAACGCCAAGCTATGTGCCACATATGGTGAGAGACATGATCCTGACAGCAGAGAGGATGGTGAGGTCAACAAGGTGTCCCTGTGTCAGAGACTTAATGCGTTGGCTCCAGACTCTTAGGGAGAGACACATAGAGAGAAGATATTCCAGGGATGAGAGAAAGAATGACAAAATGCATGAAAGCCAGCCCCATCATGTCTCTGGACTTTCTTGAAATACTAGAGACTGCTAGACCCTGGACCCTGTCTGAGTGAGATTGTTCTTTCTCTCTTGATTTGCACTGAGATCCTACCTCCCGACAAGCTAAAGAGTTTATTAACTTTTGTATATTCTAATCTATATAACTTTTCCTATTTCTGCTTGCTGTTTGCTTAGATAAAAAAAAATATTCAGTATTTACCATGTATGATGGTCTTTTATGTAACCAGCATTTGGGGGAGAGGCGCTAAACTGGTGAGTAAGTTAAGGGCTGCTGTCTTGTTTAAGAATGACCAGAGAAGGGGGCAGCTAGGTGTATTGTGGATAGCATACGAGCCCTGGAGTCAGGAAGACCTAAGTTCAAATCTGACCTCAGACACATAACACTTACTATCTGTGTGACTCTGGGGCAAGTCACTTAACCTCAATTGCCTCACCAAAAAAAGAAAAAAAAATGACCAAGGAATCAGCTTTCCTTTTGAACATAAACATATGCCCCTAGCTAGACAGAGAGTTGAGGTGTGGCAGGTAGATATAATTATATTCTTTTTTTTTATGATTTTTTTTTAGGCTATTGGGGTTAAGTGACTTGCCCAGGGTCACACAGCTAGTACGTGTCAAATGTTTGAACTCAGGTACTCCTGACTTCAGGGCTAGTACTCTATCCACTGCACCACCTAGCTGCCCCGATATGATTATATTCTAATACCCCTCTTGGAGATTGGAGAAAAGAACCTCTAGCCTTCGAGGAGTTCCTGGTACCTGCCTGTCCCTCTTCCTTAGCTCTCCTCTCTGCAGACCCAGGCCAGGCCCAGATGCTATCTATCCATGCCACTCAATAGTCGCATCTATACATTTACACAGAGACAATACAGACAGATATATGTCTGTTGGATTTTGGCACATGCCCAGGCCACCTATGATGGAGGCACTCATGTTGGAGGTGCCAGGCACCTGCCTCTGGGAGAAGACATTTTCCAATGGCCTACCATGTGGGTAAAAGCAACCTTTTTCAATTTGCTTGGTAGCAGTCACTCTTTCTTTCAGGAGGCTTCCAGGAGCAAGGGTCTCATTTACCCACAGGATGGGCACTATGTGTTAAAGTGGATGGCAGAAGGACCACCATCCTCTTCCCCTCAGGTCCTGTGTATTATATTAAGCTTGTATTCAATTCTTTAAGCTTTTTTTTTTAAAGGGGGACACTTGAAATATAATTTGCTGCTGGAGAGCAACTACAGACAATGGGCATATGACCAATGGAAAATATTGAGATCTCCGAACATCATGACCTAGTGGCTAATCTTCCTGGTAGTTGTCTCCACCTTGTTGAGTCTGACCTTCACATAATTCCTACCAGATATATAA